AGGGTCATTCCCAGGAGTGACAAAGCAGGGTACCAGTAATGGCAGAAGATGCTCAGAGATAATGAATGCCCAAAGAGGCACCCAGAGTGTGGACACAACCGGAACACAAATGTCTAGAGATTATAAGAAATATTTGGGGGTGGGGGGAGGAGAGATATGAAGGAGCATGAATTGGGGAAATGTTAGAATGAATGAAGGTATAATTGATCTCTTTCATACCAATAGGTTGTGCCTACACTATGTACCTACACTATGTACACTATGCACCTGGTCCTCTGCTAGGCATTAGATACAGACATGGTTTCAGTTACCAAGGAAATCCATTCTGTTATCAGGGCAAATGTGAGAAAGCAGACAATGACAGAAATTACTTGAACATTTGAATGTTTCAATTTTAAAATAGATTTTTTTAAATTAAGAGTTTGAAAAAGTTCATTAAATTTTGCTCAGTTTCAATTTCCCTTACCTCGCAATTTTAGAAAACTGAGGCCTATAGAGGTTAGTGATTTTTTCCAAAATCGCACTGGTGGCTAGAAGCTCAGCAGTGAGGGGCCAAATCTCCTGACACTCAGAATCCTTCTTTCCCACTATACCACAAGATCTCATTTATAATTCATTAAATGGAGGCCTCTAGTCTGTTTTTTCCATTCATTGTTACATGGAATAAAGTATAGTGAAAAAGCATGGCTTCTGAAATAGACAAACCTGGGGTTTCAATTTTCTTTACTTTGCTTAGCATGAAGGCTGGTCCTAATAAAATAGATAGATGTTCTAAAAGAAATTACAATTAACCTATACTCTTAACCAAAGATTGGGTATCTGAGTTTGGACCCTGCTTAGACTTTATACTACTGTCCAAGGATTTTATAAGAGTATATGAATACTATTTGGCAAAGCTAACTAAAGAAAGGGAAGATAAAAGAATGGTGGTGCTAATACTAATTGGTGACTTGCTGGAAAATGCCATGGGAGATAAGCTTCAGGGCTTACTTCATCTTCTAAGGGTTAATGGCTCATCCAGTAAGTTAAAGAGGCAATCAAAATCAGGGAAATCCCATTTAAAAGTGTATTTTTCACTAACAGGGCTCTTTTGTATTCACATACATTTTCCACATCTCTCCTAAGTAATTTTGATAAACCTGTTCCTCAAAAAGGCCGGGCGTGGCTCAGCGGTTGAGCATCGACCTAGGATCCAGGAGATGGTGGTTTGATTCCCGGTCAGGGCACATGCCCGGGTTGCGGGCTCAATACCCAGTTGGGGGTGGCAGGAGGCAGCCAATCAATGACAACTCTCTCATCCTTGATGTTTCTATCTTTCTCTCCTTCTCCCTTCCTCTCTCTGAAATAAAATATATTAAAAAAATAAATACATAAAGTGCCTCAGAGATGGGATCATTGTCTAAACTTAAAGCATACAGATCCATTTATCAGTTATGCTATCTTTGTGGCTGTACACAAATATGCTACTAGTTAGGCCGAAGGGGAAAAATATGCTAATCACACTTTGTCAGCCTTAAAATTCTCTCTGCATTTATGTTTTTTAAAATGCTGAATCAGCTTTCTGTGCCTTTAGTGCTCTTGCAAAGGCGATGAACGTCTTTCTAAAACCCGCCTGCCAAATGTTCTGTAAGTGTGTCAACCCCACAAAGTAACACAGAACAAGAAGGGCAAAGATCCTCTCTGTATACGTATGCAGGGACAGCGGTGTTGGGACAGGAAGCAGAGTGACTATAATGGGTATACTAAGCTGATTTTCTGCAAAAAGGCGAAAAGTACAAAGAAGATTGTGTGCCAAGGCTTGAACGTGTGGAGCCCAACTGCCCATCTAAGAGAATGCTGGCTAGTAAGACACGCAAACATTATGAACTGGGAGAAGGTAAGAAAAAGGGCCAAGTAATCCAGTTCTAAGTTTCAGATTTTGTTTTATTATGTGAGAATAAAATCTTGAGGATAAAAAAAAAAAAAGTTGAATCATGAAATAAAGAAAACAGGCATGCAAAGAACCCAAACAAGTAGTTTGTCTCATATTTCCAGTTTACTAATGATGGTATCTTGTCATTTTGGTCAAGTTAAGCATTTGGAACCAAGTAACTGAAGGGTCTTAGTAACCAGAAGAGTGGAGCTCATTCTCAGAAACTGAACCAGAGGATAAGACTAAAAGCATTTATTTCTACAAGTTATTACACTTTCTACTTCCTGTTTTATTTAGGCTGCTCATCATGACCATTTCAGGTAACAATGCAGAAGTTAGAAAACCCAACTTCCTCTTTATAAAGTGTCAAAAACTTCAGCAGCTATTTACGAAAATGGTTCTCACTAGCTTTTATAGAAATACTTACAAGGAAACCAGAGACCATCATCTCTGTGTTCAATGCTTTCAGAAAAGGTAACAAAGATAAAAAGCTGTAATATGTATTTGGCATCATGACATACATATGCCTTTAAAAAACCCCAAGTCAAATGTAGTTGAGGTCTTAGCTAAAAACAGAAAAAAAATGGCAACTTTAGAGTTCCTTCAAGGAAGAATCAATACAATTTAAGGCTAAAAATGTTTTTAAAAATTTGTTTGTAAAAGTGCCTTGGTTGTGAAAATTTTATAGGATAAGAATCTCATTTAAGAGTTACTTATGTTTCCGAATGCTAAGATACTCACAGCAACAAGTCTTGATAGAAAAACACTTTCTCAATTTTTGAATTCAGTTAAAAGGAAGCAGAAGCTTGGAGGAGGGGGCAAGTTAGTTATGGAGCTAAAGAGAATTGAAATCTTACAAGTCAAAGATTCGTACGATTTCCTTTTTACTTACAGACCCACAAAAGAGAAATAGTTTCATCTCTGTGAATAAGAATCTAATAAAATTTCAGAAATCTCAAATCATATGGACTTACTAAGACATTAACTGTATCAGTCACACTAATGAAGACAATGTGGTTAATCTAAAAAGTTTACTGAACGTGAAATTCACCAACATGTTTTGGCAGATTTACCTTACTAATTTTGATTTTCCTTACTGTCATTATTAAAATTAAGCAACAAGACAGGTATGCTGGGAGATAAGAGGAACCTGGTGAGATCTGATAAAATCAACACTATTAATGTTATTATACACTGTCAATTGAGATAGCCAAAGACATCTCAACTTGCACTCTGAAATACATATATATTTCCCCAAATTTAATTAAAAAGGCATTCTAATCCACTATGGGAAACAAAAGACACAATTCTTGTCCTAAAGTGAGTAATCTAGTGAAACCATTCTAATTTCTACAGGCCCTAAAATCACTTAATTACCAAAAAGCCTGACAAAACTGTTAAGAAAGGTGTGCAGTTGTCGGAAAAAAGTTACTCCCCCTAACACAGAATTATGCTCTTGTATTTAAGACACTTTTGAAGAAATAAGTACACAAATTACACACTGACAAATTCAACTATAACCAAAGACACCCCAGTGGAGCATCAAAGAAGGCACAATGCATGGTCGAGACTGAATGTGTTAACGTGGGGTTTATGTGCCTATATAAAACCTTTCGGGAGTTAAAAAAAAAAAAAATCCTTTGGCTAATCTCTTAATCCGTTAACAAGAAACTGACAACTATTTTTCAGTTATTATCGTTTAGAGGATGTAAGACGCAAGGGATCGAGGCACTGCGGGGCCCTATGTACAGGCATCCAATCAAGGGAGTGTCTGCAGGGTGCTCAAGTTCTCCACCAAATGTCCTGAGGCTTACACATTTATTATTGCGAATTAGTCCAGTTTATAGCATGTGAGGAGAGAGATGGATGTGTGGAGAGGCGGCTACCGCGTAGGGAGCCCTCGGTCGTGGAGTCGTGACAGCAAAATCACTTCCTGGGGGAGGAGGAGCGAAAGGGAAGTTAAGAGGCCACCCTGACCAGGAAGTGACTCGCCCTGCACCAGCCTCAATCAAATCTAAAGATGGGGGGGGATGGGGTGAGACCCAACCGCTCAGGGGTGAGACCCAACTGCTTAATTCGTCGCGACATCACCATCGGGGTCCCCTCTCTTAATCACAGAGAAGACTCCACAGCCGCGATTCAATAAAGGGAAAGTCTCTTCTCCTGCAGGAACGCCGCCGGGCTGTGCCTCAGGCCCAGGAGGAAAAGAGAGTTGAGAGATGGGGAACTGGGGCCACTGGGAGCCAGGGGAAAGACCCTCAGGAGGGAACCGTCCCAACTGCGGAAGGCGTACGCCAGCACCGGCTAAGACGCTTCTTTCTCCGGGGGGCCCCTCCAGGGTTCCCACCGCAGCCGCGTCGCGACCCCGATCCCTGTCGCGGGAGGAGGAGAGAGAGAGAGGAGCACCCCTTACCTTCTCCTCATCCGACACCCGATCCTCGAAGTCGGCCATCTTGGGCTGCTCTGCCCCAGCCCGGCCCGGCGCGAGGCAGGCCGAGAAGGAAGCTGAGTGATGGCATCACCGCGGGGGCCGACGGAAGGGCCCGCCCTCCCGGAAACGCCGACCCGGTGGGCGCCATGTCAGTTTCGGGCGCTGGGGCTGGGCTGGAACCGTGCTGACCGCCCGAGCCCCGGAACTCGCCTTTGCCTTAAATGATTTTAAGTCTCATGTCGTTCTCTCTGTGTTATATTCATTGCCCTAGTCATCTATGGGACGCGGGGAGCCCGTTTGGACTGCTCTGGGCGCCCGAGCTCCATCCAACCGAATAGCAGTTGCTACTGCTATAGGCTTTCCCAGTATGTGATTTCCATGGCAACGAAGTCCAAATGGCTCAGTGCTGCTCGATCCCTACTCGATCGATAGCTTTTCGAAGCCCGGGGGCGGGGGAAGGGGAAGGGGCGGG